ACAACAGCGGCAAGTCCAAGTCGACCTTCAAGACGTTGGCCGACCTGGGCTCGGAATAGACAAGTGGGGTGCGTGACGTGCCGTGGTGGGCTTTCCCTATGTCTTTTGTTTCCTTCTTTTCTTCTGTCAGTTATGTGGGCGCCTGAATGTCTTAACCACGCCTGTTTAAACAGGGTTCTTTACCTGCATTATCACATTCTTTTCAGACGCAGCCTCTATTTCTGGATTTATTCACCTTGATTTGAATAATTATTTGATTCACTTCTGATCCTCACGCAAGATGGTTCCTGGGGGCAATTGCACCTAACTGAATAAGAGATATAGAATAACTATTGTGGTGAAAAGAATAGAACTTCAAATATGTTGTACTACAAGTAAGAGCAGGTCCTTGGCCCCTAAGAGAATAATACAGAAGGCGACCCGCCTAGAGTTGCAGAAAAGCGGGCCAGCCGCGAACCGACCCACAATTTTCAATCTCTGCGCTATGATTTGCCATCTGACACCGACTTTTTTAACTGTTTTGGCAAGTCCAGTCCTCGAAACTTTTGGAGCTATTTTGTCCTTGTTTTTCGACACCTCGTTTTCCACAACACGAATTGTCGCCCGTTCTCTCCTCACAAGGCCACCCGCCATGTACAAAGCAAAAGAGCTCCAGCGGGCGTGTCCGCGGAGCCAAGCATGGCTGCGACAAGCACTTGCGAGCGGCCTGATTGGCCCCGACAGCCAAATCACAAAAGGCGTCGCCTCGACGAGCACGCGATGGTGGACGGCGGCGGCAAGACAACAGCCGGCCCAGCAGCAGCGGCGGCCCTCGAAACAGTTGCAGCTGCGACCCTTTTCAACGTCACGGACAGCCCGCCAGCACGAGAGCCAGCCAGACGCCGCGGCCAACACTGTGCACGAAGCTAAGACGGAATTCGAGACGCAGTCGCCGGCCGACATGGAGAAGGTCGTGCGCGAGGCACGCGCTACGTTTGGCGACACGCTGCCCGAGGACTTTCTGAGCGACGAGGAGTACTCGCTGTACCAGCGGCTGTACGGCACACCGCTGCGCCAGACGCAGCCCGAGGACGTGGGCATCCCGGATGCTGTAGAACGGCAAGAGAAGAACAGAGAGAGCATCCAAGATTCGCCGCTGGCGAGCATGGTCCGCGAGACCAAGGACGGCAATCTGGAGGTGCAGTTTGTGTACGACGCCAACGTGACGACGGTCAAGGAGGGTGAGCATGACGATGCCAACGCCAACCCAGACGCCGAGGCCCAAGCCCAGGCCCAGGCCCAGGCCGCCAACGACTCGACGGGACAGGTCGCCAGCCAGCCAGCGACAGCAAATCCAAACGTTAAATACATCCAGGCTCGTGCACGCAGCGAGCGCCAGTACGTTGCCCTTACCAAGCTGCAGCGCGACTTTGAGGCGGCGCGGCTCGTGGCAGAGCAGGAGGACAGGCTGCGGGCGGAACAAGACCACCAAGAAGAGGTCTCGGGGACGGCCATTGACGAGGAGGCCGATCTCGTGGAGACGTTTGACGAAGCATACGAAGAGGCCGAGGAGGACGACGATCTCGACGACGAGGATGCGTTGCACGCCGGCGGCCGGCCCCGTTTGCGCCGCATCCACCCACTCACCGAACGCGGGCGCTCGCGCACTGTCCCGCGCACCATCCAGCTGCCCAAGGCCAGCTTCGTCGAGCCCATTACCGAGCTCCTCAAACGCGCCCACCACCGGCATCTTCAGCAATCCGCGTTCAAGGTTTTTGGCGGGCCCGACTTGCCGCACTCGCCGCGCACCGTCTCGACGCCCACCACCAAGAAGCGCGGCCGCGCTACCTACGCGCAGCTGCCTGTGGCCATGGAGGCCGGCCAACGGACCATGCGCGACATTGACGCGGACGCGTACCTGGCGGCCGTGCTGCCCTTTGTGTATGCGACGGCCACGAGCACGCTGGTCGAGGTGCGGCGGCGCCTGGGCTCGGCCTGGATCGAGAACCTGATTTCCAAGGCCGACGGCAGCAACCCGCGCGTGCTCGACGTGGGCGGCGGCGGCGGCGCACTGGCGGCCTGGAACACAGTGTTCCGCGCCGAGCTGGCCGCGCTGCGTGAGCGTGGCCGACTTCCCGAGCGTCAACTCGAGGAGGCCGAGGCTGGACTGGCCCAGCTCGAGCTGGCCGCCGACGAGGCGGACCAGGCCCAGGCCAAGGGCCAGCTTGTCAAGGCGCGCCCGACCAAGAGCGCGCTGGCCAAGCGCCGGCGCATGGAGCGCACCGTCGTCGTCGGGTCGGACGAGCTGCGGCTCCGTCTCTCCAAGTTCCTGCACGACACCACCTTCTTGCCGCGCCTGCCGGACCTGCTGCACTCGGCCGAGAACGTCGACCGCCATCTGGACGCGCCCGCCACGCCGCACCCCGAGGGCCGCAACAAGCGCAAGACGTACGATGTCATTATTGCCAGCCACCTGCTGCTGCCGCACGACAGGCCACACGAGCGCCACGCCGTTGTCAGCAACCTGTGGGCGCACCTCAACCCGGACGGCGGCGTGCTGATTCTCCTGGAAAGGGGCCACCCGCGCGGCTTCGAGGCCGTGGCGGATGCCCGCCAGCAGATTCTGGACAAATTCATGACGCCGCCGTCGCAGGGCAAACGTGCGGCGGATGCTGACCCACCGGAAGACCTGACGACGACCGCGGACGAGGTACTGGTGCCCAAGCGCGACCCGGGCATGATCGTGGCGCCCTGCACGAGCCACGGCAAGTGCCCCATGTACCTGACCGCCGGCGTCTCCGAGGGCCGCAAGGACTACTGCCACTTTAGCCAGCGCTTCAACCGCCCGGCGTTCCTGCAGCGCATTCTGGGCAGCTCGCACCACAACCACGAGGACGTGGAGTTCACCTACGTGGCCGTGCAGCGCGGCACGCAAAAGGCCGAGGTGCTGCAGGACGGCGCCCCCGTCGAGAGCGCGCCGTTCTCCAATGCAGCGGACACTGCCGATGGGTTTCCTCTGCTGCCGCCGACGGCGCCCCTCGTCCAGGGCAAGGAGGCCACCGACGCCGCCTTCCGGGGCTTCGAGAACGTCTGGTCGGCCGACGCGAACGCGTCGCCGCCGCCCGCCGATGCCGTCAGCCCCCACCCGCTCGCGCTCCCGCGCACCATTATGCCCGCGCTCAAGCGGCAGGGCCATGTCATCCTGGACGTCTGCACGCCGGCCGGCCAGCTCGAGCGCTGGACGGTGCCCCGGTCACGCAGCAAGCAGGCCTACCACGACGCCCGCAAGGCCCGGTGGGGCGACCTCTGGGCGCTGGGCGCCAAGACGCGCGTGCCGCGCAGCGTGCGCCTGGGCCGCGAGACGAGCAAAACGACGCGCACGATTGACGTCGGCCTGGACGGGTCGGGCGAGGTGGTGGCGCGCGAGCAGCAGCCGTCGGTGGCCAACAAGACGCGCCACCGGCAGCGCGACCGGGCCGGCAAGTTCCAGGGCAAGGCGCGCAAGGTGCGCCAGAGCCGGCAGCAGCAGGCCGACTCGCTCATGAAGGAGCTCAAGGAGTCGGTCTTTGCTGCGCCGTAAGGCGGGGAGACTGACGGAGGCACGACGGAGGCACGACGGACTCACGACAGACTCTGCTTCTGGACCATTTTTTTGTATACCCATCTCTCAACTCTGCCAAATGCATGGCCATATCCTGTATATACATTGCGGGGAGATCCGCTGTACGATACGATACTACTGTATAAAAGAAGAACTGGTGATGTATGCATACTGGATGGATGCGTACCGCTACCGTGAGAAGCTTGATTCAATGTCAATGTTAGTGGTACGAAGAAAGTAGACACGGAACGCAGCATCTGTATGGCCGTTTCTGCAGCCTTGCCGATCCGCCAAAACGGGTTAGTCTAGCCTCGCCACTTACACGGTCACATCACCTTACATTCTTAATCTGCAGGTGAGCAAGTTTGAGCATTTTCCACGAGCAAAGTCGCCCCTCCATCCTACCGAAACAAAAGACAGAGCGAAACGCCCAGTTCTGAGTACTGTTGTACAATTCTCAACTATCTAATTCGTTCTTTTTATTATTGCTTGTAATGCCGACTCTGTGAAGAGGTGAGAATCGTCTAAAATCCAAAGGCTTGATGAGCTTAAAAAAAAGCTCTTCCGACCCATGTTTCGGCATCACCATTGCCACAGCCTGCCAATCTGCACTCCTACTTCCCTGTTTTTTTTTCCCCCAAGGCCGTTGCCAAGGATCGTCACGGCCGATTTGTCTCCCAATGTCCGGGTCATCGGTTTTGCATCTGCATGCCGTCTAGCCGCAGCACCCCGGTGCCTCCAAGTTGCTGTTGTTCTTGCCAGCAGGCGAGCTACAGGGGATGTTAGAGGAACAGTTATGAAGACAACACAAAAGGACAAACGGTACATTGTAAGGAGAAACTCACTCGCCAATGGGCTCCCAGTTGAAGACGAAGCTGCCGAGAAAGGCGCCGATGAGAATGCAAATGATAAAGTAGCCGTTGTAGTACATGGCCAGCAGCATCACAAAGTAGCCCACGCCAAACTGCAAGACGAAGAGGAGCGAGCGGACCATTTGTTGCAGGACGCTGGGCCGGAAGGCGGGCGCACACGGGCCACACTCGGTGTTGGTGACCATGGGGCTCAGCGGGCTCGCTTGGCTTGCTTGGTGGCTTGGGTCGGGTTTGTCGCCCACCGTGCTGCTGTTCGCACCGGTCGCGGCGCGGTGCTGGCGCACGAGGTAGCGGTCATACTCGCGGCCGGCACGGCGGAGCATCAGGAGCGACATGGTCAGCAAGACGACGCCAATGCAGGAGCCGGCAAAGACGCTGCGCGAGGTGATGCGCCAGGATCGCGCGATGAAGCAGGCGCCGACGGTGTTCCAGTTCCAGAGCATCTATAGTCTGTTAGAAGGGTACCAACGTGGGGGGACTACCAACGACAACGCAAAGCAAGCGCAGCGAGGAGACAACTTGCCGAAATCTTGCAGCTTTTGCCGCCCATGGCGCCCATGGAGTGGGAGCCACCAGCCATGCCAGCCGTGGCTGTCGGGGTGGCCATCGTGGTGGCCATCGCGGTGGCCGTTGTGGCCATTGTCATGTCCATGGTGACTTGTGGTGGAGTGAAACGCTGGGTTGTCCGGATGGTGCAGAGACGAGATGTGCGAGGGCGATGGAGGCATATCCCTGCTGCATTGTCGTCGGCGGATGCCAGAGCCTTATATACGGAGTCCGCCAGCGCAAAGTACTGGATGCCAAGAGGAGGAAATCGCGACAAACGAGATCAACCACGCCAGAACCACGCCAGGGCCACGTCAGGGCCACGCCAGAGCCGTAGCGCCATGAAAACGTATGGTGTACAAAATCTGCAGATGTGAGAAAGATTCGGTGTATGAGGCCATTCAACAAAGGACCCTTTTTGGGCCCTTTTCCTCGGTCTTCGGGCAAATATGTGCTGACAGGACACTTTTTAACGAAATGGAAGGCACGGCGGATACTTGGCGCGGCGTGGCATTCATGGCGTGAGCAATTTTGCGGAGATCGGCGCCTGGAACGGAGTCGGCAGGAAGGAGGCAAGGGGCCGGCGGGCTCAAAAATGAGCATATTTCATGGTTGTGCCTTCCGGTCTTGGAGGGTTTTGGCTTTCCTGCATTTTGAATATTGCTCTTTCCGTTTTGGTCCATAAAAGTAGGACTTTTCTGGGCGAGGGAAGAGCGACCGTGATACGAGGCTGCAAAACGTCAACACAAGGCAAGGCTTCGTCAAAATGGAAGGAGCACGAGGGCAATGTCTTGGGAAAGGGAAAGAACGTCAAAAGCTGGATGGATGTAAAATCTCCGACTGGATCACAACATTATTACGTACAACCTGCGCAGAGCCTGGCCAGAAGAGTCGACAGAAGAAGGCGTAAAAAAAAACTTCTGGCATGGGCTTTCACCGCCGTACTTTGTTCCCATCCCGTTTAATGCACGCAATCTTGCTCACCGGACAGCACAACCTCCCCAACACACCCCATTCCACGAGCATTCCGCGACTGGGACAATGCTACCCAAACAGCCATCCCAGGACACGGCAGGCAAACGTCGGCAAGCAACAGCACCCGGCACCAATAAGGGCCATCTATTTGCTCCGGCAGAGAAGGAAGGATGGCATTCTTCGCGCATTGTCAAAAGGAGCTGTGGCTGAAAAGACGAGCACATATCGTGGGGTAACGGATGGCAGACGCAGCGTCACATTGGACGGTGATATTGGCAGCAACACGCGACGTGCAGTTGTTTCCATGGTCTTCGTCAATATGGCTTCGATATTATACCACCCTCTCGGGACCGTTGATCGTCGAGTGCCGTAAACCGTCTGTCAGACGGCGACGTCCATAAGAAGACGCAATGGACCGCTCGAGATGCTCGACGAGGCGGGCAGATCTCATCCTCGTCTTTCCCTGATTCTCCATCGACCTTGTCCATCGACATATTCCGAGGTCACACCGACTGTGGTTGAAGCAATACGGGCAACAACACCAGTCATGGCCGCCAACACCCCGGCCAAGCGATGGCAGGCCTCGCGCTTCGCAGCGACGATCGTTGTCATGCTGTCCCTCCTGCACGCGACCGCTGCCTTCAATGCTGGTGCGCTCACCGGCGTGCCCGCGAACAACTACGACCCCTACTGCGCCATGGCGTGTGTTCGTTCACTCAACGGGCTTTTGCTGAGCTGTTCGAGCACGCAGGGCAGCGGCGGCATGATCGGCATGGTGGATTTTGCGACCTCGTCGGCATGCTGGGCCAGCGACACGCCTTATCTGACGAGCCTGGCCTACTGCATGACGGTCCAGTGCGCCATCGACGAGTTCAGCCGCGGCGAGGACATGCCGGCCTCCAAGCTCGAGTGGTTCTGGGAGACGGAGGCGACGGGCCAGATCGCGGCGGGCGCGCCCACGGTGACGCCCAAGTGGACGTACGCCCAGGCACTGGTTGAGGCGCAGGCGGTCGTGTCGAATGCGTCGGCCAGCGGCGGCCTCCCTGCACTCGCGGCCAATGCTACATGGCTCAACACGACGTCGCTGGTGTCACCGGCCGTCTACCGCGCGCAGTGGAACGTTCTGGTCGCCGTGCAGGAGGAGACGAGCAAGGAGAACAGGTACGGCATCGCCTTGTTGTCTGCTGGGGTGCTTCTGCCCATCGTCTGCACGGCCCTCGCCAGCAGCAGCCTGGTGCCGTCGTCTGTCCACCGGCTCGTGCACCGCCTCAAGCCGTACCTCGTCTGGCCCAGCACCATGGGCACGTACAGCGTGCGGCCCTTGCCCTACGGGCTCGGCAATGCACCCACGCGCGGACAGGCCCTGTACATTGGCCTGTTTGTCGCTCTCAACGTCGTCCTGACGTCGGTCAACTACCGCGCGCGCCAGCCCAGCGCCTGGTTCCTCAACACAAGCCGCGAGATCGCCGCGTACATCCTGTACCGCACGGGCGAGCTGGGGTACATCCTGCTGCCGCTGGTGTTTTTGTTTGGCTCCCGCAACAACGTCTTGCTGCTCGTGCCCGGCGCCGCCGGCTGGAGCCACGCCACGTACCTGGTGCTGCACCGCTGGGTGGCGCGCGTGTTTGCCCTGCAGGCCATCCTGCACTCGGTCGTCGGGCTTGTGCTGTACAAGCTCAACGGCGTGTACGATGCGGAGTCGGTCCAGCCCTACTGGATCTGGGGCATCGTGGCCACGGTCATGGTGGTCCTCCTGACCTTTGGACTGAGCGGGTCCTACGCACGCGCCTACGCCTACGAGCTGTTCCTGGCCGCCCACGTCGTGTTCTCCGCGCTGCTCATCGTGGGCTGCTGGTACCACGCGTACGACCTGTACAAGTTCTTGGGCGGCGTGGTGGATTTCCTCTATGCGGCCGTGGCCGTGTGGTTCTTTGACCATGCCCTCCGCGTCCTGCGGGTGGTCGGCTTGCTCGGCGCGCGCCGGGCCCGCGTCACGGAGCTCGGCGGCGCCAGCGACATTGTGCGCGTCGACGTGCCCGAGGTGCGCTGGACGAGCTTTGATGCGCTGGGCAAGCACGTCTACGTATACCTGCCGACGCTGACACCCTGGCGGCCGTGGGAGAACCACCCGTTCTCGATTGTGCCGACGGCGCTGGTGGGGCGTTCCGGCCTCGGACAGTCCGTTCGAGGCAGCGACGACATGGAGAAGATGGGCAGCTTGGTCCAAGTGCAGGCGGTGGCGGTCGACGGCGCGTCTTCGCTGTCGCGGTCAGGGCCGGCGTCTGTCTCGGCGGCGACAGCCAGCACGGGGCCCGGGCCCGGGCCCGATCCAGCCGGCATCACTCTCTACATCCGGCGCGCCAACGGCGCCACGCGCCGCCTCGCCGCCCACCCGTCACTCTTTGTTCTGCTGGAAGGCCCCTACGCCAACACGGGCACGGCGACGGCGACGAATGCGCTCCTGCGCTGCGACCGCCTGCTGCTCATCGGCGGCGGCATCGGCATCACGGCGCTGCTGCCCTACCTGGCGTGCCATGCGAATGCCAAGCTGGCCTGGAGTCTGCGGGCGGCGGCACGGCCCCTGCTCGACGACCTGTCGGCGCTGCTGGACGCCCGTGGCGACGTCGACGACGTCCGCGTGGGCCGTCGTCTGGATGCGGAGCAGCTGCTGGCCGACGAGGCCGGTGCCGGCTGGGGACGCATCGGGGTGGTCGTGTCTGGGCCCGGCGGGCTCTGCGACAGCGTGCGGGCCCGCGTTGTGGACCTGGCCAAGGCGACGCCCGGCACCACGTTTGAGCTGGAGGTGGAGGCCTACTCGTGGTAGCTGACACCGACGGGCGATGCCGATTGGATTTGTGCTTTCGTTTCACGATGTTGGCTTGTTCAGAATTCAGAGGTTCTCTCAATCACAAACGTACGGAGAATGCCGTCGCAGGTCTTAAAATAGACTGCTCTTTGTCCCCGGTTGCCCTCGTGACGTAACAGAATGTTGGTGTGTTGTACGTCTTGGGGTTCGACAGGCGGACTACAGGACTAGGACTAGGACTAAGGACTATGGACTACAGGGCCGCAGAGTAATAACAATAGACGGCTTGTGTGTTCTGCAAGCTCGACAGTACGACGTACGGCGTAGGATATATGGCAGATATGCGAGGACAGCTGTGGTCCAACTTGCGTTTAACATTGTTCCTCGTGCTATGGTACAAAAGGCAGCTGACGATCAGCGAGGCACTGCCGATACCACGGGAGGATATCGCTGTCAGCCATAACCCGTGGTTTGTAAGACATTCCCAAGTGGCGATGCTGTGCCGTTCCAACAAAGAGGGCGTCCCAGTCGGGTAACTCGGAGGAGAGAAAAAGGACCTCTGCCGTTGACGCCCGGTGATCTTATCTCATCGAGCCCTTTTGCTGTGATAAGTGGTCAGCTCCGGTTACGTCCTGACCACGCTGCTGAGCAAGCACGACGATGACTGTCTCTTGGAACAGGCAAAAAAAAAAAAAAAAAAAAAACTACCGCCTGCATTCGTGGCATTGTCATGCCTTATCGTCCTTGTGCCCAACGCAAGATCCGCATGGAACGGCGCGTCTTTTTCCTCCAAGTGCATGTTTCTAGCTCTGTTTGTTCTCGACCCTGACCGGCTTTTGTTTGTTCTGTCCCTTGCCCCAGTCCCCTTGTTTTTTCTTTGTCAAGTCTTGTCCGGTTCCGGCATAGCCAGGGGACTTGGCTTCCTCCAAGCGCCCGGCTTTGTTAAACTTTAACGCCAGTGTGCCGATCAACGTCGACATGTTCTTTTTTCCGCGCCTCCTTCTCTACAAGGTATGTACCAGTTCAAATGCCCTCTCTACGATTATGTGCCTTCATTTCATTCTGTTCTTTGCTCGCCGCGACGATTTGCCTTACCAATCCCGATAATGTACATACGGCTGGCCAGCGCCAAGAGGCAATAGAAAGCACAAGGGAAGGATGCAGCGGAGCGACTGGCCATCGTGGCGGGTCAGCATCGGTGAGAACTCTCAGCACCGTCAGCACTATGCAGGCCCAATGTCCGCCCATGTCAGAACAAAATAAAGGATAGCCGATGGGGTAGAAGGAAGAAGGAGGGAAGGCAACTGGGCGAGGAAAAGCACAGCCATGACCTTGTTTTTTGGTCAAAGGCCTTCGTCCTCCCAGGCAAACAACCCTCGACCAAACGCAAGCACCATTGCCTATTGTGAAAGTTTGGCAGCCAAGTGCCAAGAATCAATCTCAGCTGCATCCACTCTGGATTGCCATCCTGGACCATCCGCTCCCCCCCTGCCATCCTCTGCCAACAGTTTTTTGCTGCATGCTGCACTGCGCTGTGCAGACCGTTGGTGTGATTCGCCTGGGATGCGCCGGTCGTGGGCGATCCTTTCCTTGGTATTTCTGCTTTCTGTCCCATTTGGTCGTTTGACTCTCCTCTTTTTGGCCTCTCCGTGCATGGCCTCCAACTTATCACATCACGCTGCAGCTGTACGATTTACTGTCTGTTGGAACGGCGTGTTCCGTCCTCGACTGCCACCTCACCACGCTCGACCTGCTGGGCCATGTGTTGAACCGCACGAATCACATTGTCGATAGCATGCAGGCCGGTATAACCACCCCTCCTGTGATCCTCGGCGTGGCCTGCACATCGGCCAACAGTCTGTTGCTCTCTTTCTCTTTTTCTCTTTTCGCGCTTCTCTTCTGTTTGACCGAACTTTGAACTCCTCTGAACTCCTTTGAAAGCCGCCTTCCCTGTGATTTGACGCTCGACGTATCTTCGTACTCCACGTCTATGAGAATTGCCGCCGCTTCTGTTGCTTCGATCCTTTGCCAAGTTGCGCATTTCGTCCTCCCCATCTGTGTTCCTTCGACCCTCTCTCATCTTGCCGCGTAACGCCATCCCACACCTGTCAGCCCCATCAGCTGCCACCCCGACGAGCCAGAGGATTCCCGCACTTCGCATTTCCCTGCTCACATTTCCTTGCTCCTTGGCTTCGTGTCCGGATTCGTGCTTTTCGCGGGTTGCATTGGCATTCGGGCGGCTGGGCCTCGCGCCTCCCCTGTGCGACTATCTGTCTGTCTGTCTGTCTGTTGGCATTTGCTGTGCACTTTTGCGTTTCTGCACTTTTGCATGTGTGCACCGGACCCTCGTACACCCCTACCGCAGAACCAACAGTCGGGCGGTCTGGCCGTGGTTCATATGGTTTCTTATGGGGTTTCCTTCTTATTAGTTCTCACTGCTCCAACCCCATATTTCTTTGTTTCCCGAATCTCTTTTTTGTTTCTGTGTCTCTTCGTTTCGTTTCATATTCTAGACTCTGTTTCTTTTTGTTTTCTTTAACTCGACATCTTTGACCTCAACACCGGCCTCTTTCGTCGACCACCATCCCAAGTCGCTGTCGCTATAGTCAACAAATCGAAGCTGCATTTGTTTTTTACAGGATGATATAAGCCTACTTTGACCTGACTTTACCGTGAGCCTTTCTCTGGCTTTCTTGAGCTCATACTCTCTTTATTTTTTTACCTTTCCGCAAGGAGCCCGAGAAACGAAACAAACATCACGACACATTTTCACCGTCGACAAACAAAACACGTATTTCCCACCACAACCCCTACCTCACAGTTTTCACCACTCTGTTTCCACCGCCATGTCCGCCCCTTCCGTCGCCCTCGTCGTGGCGCTGGCACTCCTCACCGCCGACGGCGTCATCGAGCTCGGCTTTATCACCAGCATGGTGTCGTACCTCCACGCCGGCGCCCCCTCTGGCACCTTGGTCGTCAACACGCCGCCCGGCACCGCGCCCGGCCAGGCGTCGACCTACGAAATCAAGGGCAAGCCCCTCGGCATGCTCGTCAACCAGGGCCACACCAGCAACGGCGCCGCCGGGTCAGCCATTGTGCTGATTGGCATCGTCGGCGCCCTCGCCCTGTATGCACGCGCCAAGCTGCCGGGCCGCCCGCTCACCAAGTTTTTGTACGGCGCCTGGATGGTCTTCCAGGTCCCCACCTTTCTGCTGACCCTGTCTGCCCTCGGCTACACCTTTGCCGTCACCAACAAGCACCGCGGCCAGACCATCGACCAGACCGTGGCCTATGCGACGCAGCCCGGGCCCTACGCGCTCGACCAGTGGACCCCGCAAAACTGGTTCGCCGCCGTCCTGGACCAGCTCGACCTGGCCGACCCGGCCGTCGCGGCCGACCTGGCCCGGCACCTGCGCATCATGCGCGGCTGGCAGTACAACTTGATCCTGCTCTTCCTCGTGCAGCTGGCCGAGACGGTGCTCGCGCTGGTCGACTGGTGGGCCTGGCGGCAGAACGGCGGGCACCAGGGCCACCTGCAGGCCGCGGGCCCGGCCAACGAAAAGCACTACGTCAGCCAGGGCGACTACAATGACGGGACCAACCACGGCCACGGCGTCAACTACAGCCAGCTGCAGTACGAGAACCAGGCCTACGCTGACGAGAGCAAGAACATCAACCAACACGGAGGCTACAGCAACGGTGCCAACACGCAAGCACAGCAGTACGTGTAGACGGTTGCATGTACCCTTTTCTTCGTCGAGTTCATCGTTTTCTTTTCTTTTTTCATTGTTTTTCTTTTTTCTTCACACTCTTTTGAATTTACGACATCAAGACGATACATCTAGTATGGGGACCGTCCGAAGAAGATGTATCCCCCGTGGCAATCGGCGTTAGGGCTTCTCTCATTTTGTCTCTTTCTTTTTGCCTCTACTATCCTTTCACCCGTGTGATCCTTCCTTTGTAAATTTAATGAATATTGCACCGTTTTAATATGTCACTCTCTTGTCTCATTTGCCATTGATATCGTTGTGGGCTTGAGCCATCTACAACTACTGTGGCTACCTTTGCCCATGGACGCGGTACAACTACGGACGTTTCTCCCGGCTTTTGCCTTCGACTTCAACCGGCGCCTCGAAGGATTGACGCACAACAGCCTGGGCGCGGATGGGATGCTGCACACGGCATTCGCTTGTCTTGGGATCTCCTAATAATAGTAACGTGCAAGTTAAGAGAGACTATATAAAATATATATGTAAATATATATATAAAGAGAAAATAAGCACTGCACGCCTTGCATAAACAACCATTCGCTCCCACACACTTGCAAATTCAACTGTAAGGACAGGCATACGGTTTTCCAGATTTCATATCGTCGCTGTAGTCGTTTCTGTCGTCATTGTTCGCAAGCCAGTGCTTGCTTAGGCCGTCTCGGGTGCATCCGGGACGCCCGCCGTCGCCGTTTCTGCTGTTTCCGTCGTGGTCTCCGTGGCCTTGGTTTCCTTGGGCGCAGCCTCCGTGGTCTTGGTCTCTGTGGTCTTGGTCTCCGTGGTCTTGGTCTCCGTGGTCTTGGTCTCCTTGGGCGCAGCCTCCGTCGTCGCTGTCTCCACCGTCGTCTCCGCCGTCGTCTCCGCCGTCGTCTCCGCCGTCGTGGCCTCCGTGGCCTCCGTCGTAGACTCCGCCGTGGCAGACGCAGTCTTGGGCTTGTTGCCCCAGGTCATGCTGACCTCAATGTACGCGTGGATCGACGTGTCGAGCAGGTCCCGCCGCACGTCGGCCACAAACGCCCTGATGTCCTCGAGCGACCACCCCAGCAGACCGAGCAGCTTGAGCGACAGGCCCTCCATGCCGTTGAGCAGGTCCTGCTGCACATACGCGCCCAGCGTCTTGTAGTACGATCCCTTGGGCCACGGGCTCACGGGCCAGTAAAACTTGCGCTCCACCACGTTCTCGAACCCGGCCTCCTTCATGAAGCGCGGATAGTGCTTCACATTGGTCCAAGGCCGGCCGGACAACTCGGCGCCCTCGGTAATGAGGTCGACCCACCGTTTCAGCGCGCAGTTGGGCGGCGGCGGGCTGGCAAACTTGAGCGGGAAGTTGCCGTCCTGCAGCTCGAGGATGCCGCCCGGCACAAGGTTGGCATACACCGAATTGATGACGGTGGCCGGGTTGCGGAAGCAGCTGATGAGGGCGCGGCCGTGGATGTAGTCGAACGGCTGGTCAAACGACCACTCGTCCTCGGCATCGTCGACCTCAAAGGTACAGTTGGGCGGGATGCTAGCGGCGGTTAGCGGTGAGTTGTGCAGACACAAAACAAAAGTACGGGCAAGACAAGAAACGTACAATTCGGGCTGGATGGGACTCAAGTCCGTGCCGATAACCTGCGATTCGGGGAATTCGATGGCTATAAGGTTAGCGGGAAGGGAAGAACGGAGGTGCGTGGGAGAGAAAAAGAAAGAGACAGAGAGAGAAAGACAGAAACGAGGCTTACCAAACTCAATCGCCCAGATGCCTGTGCCCGTGGCCACGTCCAGCACCCGCTTCGGCTTGTCAATGGGCGACAGGTACGACTTGCCATGGGCCATCAACAAGAAAATGGCGTGCTGCAGGTCCAGCCGCGCCTGCTCCTGGATGTCGTTGGGCAGCGGATACTTGCCCTCCTTGTACCGGTGGTACGTCCGCCCGTTCTCCTCGACATAGTCGTACATGCTGGAGCGCAGCGACGTCGTCGTCGACTTCAAGATGCTCGACGCGCGCTCGCTGTCGTACAAGCTGTCGGCGTCGTCTCGGTCGCCGCCACCGCCCACGCTGCCGCCGTCGCCTGTGCCGCTGCCGCCGACACCGTCGCTGCTGCTGTCGTCAATGGCGGGCACGGACGGCGCGCTGCCGTCACCCCACGATATGAGGGACAGGCGGCTGGCCATGGGGACGTGTTCTGCGGCGGGCTCTTCGTCGGCGTCGGCGTCGGCGTCGGCGTCTCCATCACCGCCGGCAGCGGCAAGGTCGTCCACCTCCGGCACGGCCTCCACGGCTTGCGCAGGCGCCGGCTCGGACGCGGGTGCAGATAAGGCCTCAGCAGGGGTTGGTTCGACCTTGTCGGCCTTGTCGGCCGCAGGCGCAGCCGTTGATGGCTGCGTGTCGCCGGCCATCGTGTTGCGTTTGTGGAGTCCCTTGACGTTGTCTGTGTTGTCTGTGCCGATTGTGGCGTTTGTTATTTCTCTTACTTGCTCTGCAACACTGCTTATTAGGGATGGAAAGAACAATGGAGATAAATCACAGCATTCGACGGCAGGAGGGGGCTACAAAACCAACATGGGGAACGACCAGCATGGGGAGCAACCAACAGCAGGAACGACCGGCGCAAAGACTGGGGCCCCCATCCCACCATTGTTCTCCAAAACGCCCACCGTTCTTTTGTACTATTGAGCAGAAAAGGGTGTTTTGGGCACTCCAATGACCCATGCTCGCCTTTCGCCTGACCATTCCATATGTACGTCTTACACCACGGCCCACTGTATGTTGCATCGCGGGATGTTCCTACAGTTGGGGACAACGGGCAATCTCTCAAAACAGACAATGGCCATTGCGCCACTCAACGAAATATTCTGGGAAGCCAGACCGTTTGTCCCACGAACCAAAGTGTTGGGGTTCCCGTCGCCTTGGAACACACACTGGCGGGCCGTCCCAAACGCAAAGGGAGAAACAAGAAGGAAAAGACACTGAAAAGACACTGCAGACATTGGAGACGCTGAAGACGCTGAAGACACTGAAAAGACGACGATAAAGACACTACAAACCAGACCAAGTATCTCCACTTCGCTGCCGCGCAAAAGGGCAGGCACGCCATCACACCTTGCTTGCGTCTGTCACATCGCACTTGCCCTTCCAGTCGTCTCGTCCAAGACATGCCTGCCCCCCACGAGAGACGAAAGGAGGGGCATCCCATCGTTTTTGTCAACTTCATGCAACCGCGGCCCAACCATCGTTTCTGGTCGCTCTTTCCTATCTGTGTCTAGTGTAGCAGTAGCAGGGTTTTGTGGATTTGTCTTTCTGTCAACTTCCTCCGAAAGATCGGACGAAAAGACAGCACTGGACAGCCCTCCATTTTCTGGTTCTCACGATTCCAGTCTCTCGATTCTCTCTAGCCGCAACACACGCTCACAACGAACGACGCACAAGAACGACGCATATCCACGCCATGTCTCCACCTCCGTCCGCGGCGAATGTCCATGGCCCTTTGCGGGCGCTTCCGTAGCGCTCGCTCCGCCTTGCAAGGGTAGGAGCAGACAAAAGAATAAAAAGACGACAAGGGACGAAAAAGACGAGAAAGACGACTGTCAGACGGAGAGAACAACAAAAACTATCCTAGCCGCCAGACCCCGCGGAAGCTCTGCCGCCCGCCGCCATTGTGAGAGCTAGCGACGTGGTGCTGTGGATCAGGCCAAATAGTGCCCGTTAACTACGAGAGAAAATGGCGCCGTTCTCATCATCTCCACTGAGGGAGAAATAAATGAAAAAGAGAGAGACCAGTCAAGATATCTTACAGGTGACTCTTGGACAAGCTGCGAGCGCACATTGTGGTGGAAGGCGGCATCTCGTTGATATCGCAATCTTTTCTTTGTACCACGTAATTACACCGCCTCGACCGCCTTTGCGACTCTGCACAGCGGTATGCGAACCAGCGGCAGGTGACGGGAGGGTGCACAGATCAGCATGCATGGACCACTGACAGGATGACAGGACTGTCTTACTCTGCGTTGCGGTGTCCAGTCAGACGAATCATGCAAACAACAGCGCAACATGGCACATGATTCTCAACACTCCGTATGGCTTAACCTCGCAAAACCGTCACGTACTCCGTCGCCGTCGTTAACAGGAGATGCTCATTATGCTATTCACTTGTAAAGATGACAAATGCACCAAGGCACAGCCATCGGAATCGTGCGCCCCGCGTTAACCCAAAAAGTTGCGCACGTTGCCGCCAATGTTCTTCAGGTCGAGCAAAAACGTGTCGTGGCCAAACATGCTCTGCTGCTCGCTGAGCTCGTAATGGCTGACGTTGCGGTTGCCGGCCTTCTTCAGGGCCTCGGCGACCTCGTACTGCTGCCACGCAGGGAACAGAATGTCGCTCGCGACGCCCATTACGAGCGTCGGGTGGTTGCGCAGCACAGCCAGGCCCTGGACCAGATCCGCCGGCGGCTGCCAACTGGGCGCGCCGGGCATCATGGACGCGACGTGGCCGTCGGCGTCCGACGGCGGGGGGGGCGCCGCCGCGGCCGCGGCCGACGGCTGTCCTGCCTCAGGCTGCTCTTCGTACGGCTTGTCGGGGAGCGTCAGGGAGCAGACGGCGGCGACGGCGTCTGCACCCGCACCCGCACCCGCCACCGACGAGGCCGCCTCGGCCGCCTTCTGCTCGCGCTCCCGCCGCCGCTGCGCCGAGCGTGCCTGGTGCGCCGCCCCCAGGTCAAACAGATCCATCGCCTTGCTCACGTACAGCAGGCTGTTGGGGTCGTACGTGAGGCAAAATTTCTCGCCGGCGTGGTCGAGGTACGTCTCGATCAGGAAATCCGGGCACAGCGCCGGCGGCTTGCTGGGGTCCGCGCGCCGGCGCCCGAACCGCTGCTCCCATTCGGGGCCCGACCGGTACGTCACAGTGGCGATCTCGCGCGCCAGCTTCATGCCCGCGTGTGGCGGGACGCGGCCGTACCCGTAGTAGAAGCCGCGGTTCCAGTTGGGGTCCATCATGAGCACCTGGCGCTGCGTGTGCCGCATGGCAATGCTGTACGGGTGGCTGCGCGCGCAGCCGCTAATGGACACGATCTTGCCGACGCGGTCCGGGAACAGCACCCCCGCCGCCAGCGACTGCATGCCGCCCATGGACGAGCCGACCGACGCATACAGCCGCTCGACGCCGAGGCCGTCCAGCAGCCGGAACTGCGCGCGCACCATGTCCTCCATGGTCAGGATGGGAAACCGCGTGGCGTAGTGCGACCCGTCGGCCGGGTCGATGCTGCTGGGCCCCGTCGATCCGTAGCAGCCGCCGAGCACGTTGGTGCAGATGACAAAGTACTTGTTGGTGTCGAGCGCAAAGCCCTCGCCCGGGCCAATGAACTTCTCCCACCATCCCGGCTCCGGGTTGATGTCCGTCGAGTGCGCGTGCGAGGACGCCGACAGACCCGTGTGCAGCAAAATGGCATTGGACCGGTCGGCGTTGAGCGTGCCCCAGGTCTCGTAGGCAATGTCGAACTCGCGCAGCACGCCGCCCCAGTCGAGTCGCAGGGGCTCTTCGCAGTGGTAGCGCAACGTGGCGCCCGACGTGTAGTTGGGCTCGGGTCCGCTCTCGGATGCTCTTGGCGACTTCGTTGTTTTTGTTGTTTCTGTGGTCGCCGTCTGCTGGTGCTGCTGCTGCTGCTGCTGGCGCTCAGATTGCAGCCGCTGCGACCGGTCCTCCAGAGCGTCGAGACAGGGAAACGCCATGGCCGGATTGGAAGCTCCACTGCACCGGGCTGCGGTCATATGCAATGATCGCCGTGACGAATGTTGTGAGGAAGGGACATCAAACAGGCGCACTGCAGCCGGCCGTTGCGTGCAGAAGGAGCGCCGCACGATCTGTGAGGGCCCGTCCACGGCCAGCCGCGTGCCTGAGCGCATGCCCGCACTGGCAAGCGACTGAGCAGCCTTCATGGTGGGGTGGGCAGCGAGAGGAGCTCTTCAACTGGAAAAGTTGGTGATGTTCGCCGAACTCGGATGTGGATAAATGTGTGTGATACTATGTCGGTAAAATAAAAACTAAAAATTGGACGTCAAGCAAAGGCCCGTCGATGTTCAAGGCTCAACCTTGAGAGCATTATAAATCAACAAGCTATTCTGAAAATGAAAACAATCTTGTCCAGAGGCGCCACGAGCGACAGCCGGTGTTGCGTTTGTCACGGAACAAGGCACGTCAACGTTCAAAATGTCGAAAAACGGCAAGCTTGGCCCCGTCGGCCGCGACCACAGACCCCACTACAGCGAGCCGACGCCCCAAAACGGCAACCATCTGGACCGGCCAAGAACCAGTAACAGCGATGACGGAATTCCACGTGATGTTTCCAGCCGCTCATCACGTGGCATTTTCCGACGTGAAGTTCAAAACTGGGCTGCCTAGAGAGCTAGAGTACAGATCCTAATCGATAAGCGCAGGCCGTTGGCCTCATACAAGCACACCTGCATGCTGTGATGTCATTGGCCCGGGTCACTTTCCCGCCTGAACCAGATTGGTGAAGGAAGACAGGGTGCGTCGTACCTTCCGTAACAGTTAAGCCTCGCCTCCCTGTTCATGACGTGGTGCAAATGCAACTGCGTAAAACGGGAGCCTTGCCCTGAAGACACAGCATACTAAAGCCTGTAAGGCTGGTCTCTGCAATTGGCACACCCAAACGTATCAGCAGTAGAAACAAGACACTCGCATCACCAAAACGCTGCCACGACGCAATTACACCTGAAGAGCAGCCGCACACAATCATGTTCTCCGCTGCGCGCACCATCTGGCAGAGCCTCAGCGACGGCAGCTGGTCCTTGCCGGCCGGCGGCGGCCATGGCGATGATAGCTCCACTGGAACAGACGATGGCGACGACTACGACTACGACGACGGTGACAAGGACAATGACGACGCCCAGTCCTATGGCGGATTCTACGAGCCCTCGTTTGCCGATGTCCTCGTCGCCAAGGCCATGCTGCAACGCGCGGGCCACCTGCCCCTGGAGCTGGTCGACGACATTGTCGACTACGCAGAGTACTGGCCGCATACCCACGCCGAGGCCGACTATGCCCAGGAGACGGGCAACGGGCTTGTCATCCCGCCGCGCAGCTTCCGCAACGACGGAAACAACAAGTTTCTGCTGCGGACGCTGCCGCTGGGCTTCCGGCGGCCCCCTGTGCCGGGCGGCCGTGACGCGGGTGGAGAAGAAGACGAGTCGAATGCCTACAGCACGACGGAGCCGGAACCGCGGCCATACCACAATGTGGACGGCAACGACAGCGGGGACGGGAACGAAGCCAATGGCGGCGTGCTTTGCTCCGACGACGACGTCCGCACATGGTTTCCGGCGGGCCAGGCACCACCACTCGAGTACCCCTGCCGCAAGATTGTCTTTACGATCACCAGCCACGACCAGGGCTGGGCCAACAACCAGCGCGACCGAGGCACCTACAAAGGCTCGTACTCGTGGTTTGACGTCGGACTCGAGCGGTACGGCGTGCCGGCCGGCGGCCCATCCGAAACGAACGACGGCCAAGAAAGCCAAAAAAGCCAAACGAGCCAAACGAGCCTGGATGCCACCGAACCACAAGCGATGCCCGCGACGGCATCGCTCTACACCCTTCGGCCAGACGTCGTCGAAGCGCCCGCGCAGAACTTCGACTCGCAGCCCGCGAGCGCCGGGGGCCCGCCGGACCAAATGCGCTACCAGTTCTCGTTCCCTCTCCTGCCGGGCGTCGACCGCCTGCAGTCCAACGTTGTGGCCACACGTGCGTGGACCGAGCACAAGATTGTTTGGTCGTGGACCGATGGCATGGAGGACACGGACGCGAATGGCCCGGCGTCCGCCGCACAAAACAGCGATGCCCCAGCCGCCAGCACAGACAGCACCATGGCCAATGCGGCCACCACCACGACAGCCAACGGGCCCGGGCCCCAGAACGAGGACAATGCCGACCTCACAGACGTCCTGGACAATGTACACCCTCTTGAAAAGCTGGGCCGCGGTGCCGAGACGGGCGATGGCGCGTTTGTGCGAAACCTGCGCGTCGGCGATGTCGTGACGCTGTGGGCCAAGGCGCGCTTCCCCGGTTGGGTCAACATCGTCCAGCGAGCACAGATTGACGTCTACTGGGCTGTATAGGATACCAAAGAAAAGTATACCACCTTCAATTATTGGATGCTGCCTTTACTTTCTGGGCCTGCTATATGTTTCGAGACATGTATTGCTAGCCGTGAATGGCAGCATGGGGATGGTTTCTATGGCTTTCCTAGGCTTGCTGGACATAGACGCCATGGAATTTACAAGGCTTTCACATGTGATGATTGTAACGAACATTGTCGTTTCAGCATCATAGCAGCGGTGTAGTTTTTTTTCGAGATATCCAATAATCTTTTGTCTGTGTATACGGATTTTTATGACTGCGTTTTATTTATTTTTTATTTTGAATTCTTTTTCTTAAAAAGAGCAAAACAATTATTCCTTATTTATAATTTCATCTGTCGGAAAATACACGGCTAAAGAAATGTAGTATATACTATATCTCTGTTAAATGTGACGGTCAACAGGTAGCACACAGGTACATATATACAAACATTGAAATTGTATGATGCATTTTCTTTCAGTATCAAGTTTTTCTGTCTTCTTCTACTTCTTTTTTTTGTAAATGCATTTGAAATTTTTAAATAAGAATAATCAGTTGACATGAAACCTTAACCCGACTCCTCCATCCTCGCGTGTTTGTTCCATGTATCGTTCGCTGGCCGTCGTGGTATGTTCATCCCGGTATTGGCTTTTTTTTTTTCAAAGTTTATGGTCCCTCTTGTAAAATGCTCATGTAGACAAACAACAAGACTAGAAACACAGACGCAGACAGCAGACAAAGGCAGGTAGACAATGAGAAAAATGGAAATTGAAAAATACAATGATTGAGAGAAAAATACAAAGGCGCCCATGGATCTCTGTGTGTGTATGTATGGTGATGCTATGACAAAAAAAAAACAAAGAGAAAAACAAGACGAAACGCCCCGTCGACCCAAAGCCCAGAACCGGTGGTTTTTGACATCTTGTCGACTCCCATCCATGTCGTGTCCTCGCTATGTTTCGTGTGCCCTCCGTGCTCCTGGTATATATATCATTTTCTTTTTTTTTATTTGAAATAGTAGCTTCGCTTTTGGAGGTCGATATGACCCCTCACTCGACATCACGGGTATGCCATGTTCCTCTAGGCTGCTGTCTCGGTACGATTTTTTTTGTTTTCATGCGTCGCGTGTGCTTTGCCGTCTCCATTTTCTATGTTTGTTAACTCGCCTCGTTCAAGTGCTTTCCCACTTTTGGGCTCATGTTTCCGTATGTTTTTTATAGTTGGGTTTGTAACATAAGAACATAGACAGTCCAACTGCTACCATATGGTGCAGAACGTTGTGAGAATAGTCGAAGGTGGGACACTGTCGCGCCGAGCAGGCGGGGCTGGCACGCGATCCAGGTCGTGCTGCACAACAGACAGTGACAGCATCGCATCTGGTCGAGATAATTTGTATCCGGAGCAGCGAGAGGACCTGACCCAACCATTCCCATGATCGTCATTATCCAACAACGACGTGACACGGCTGAAGGGGGGCAGGTACATCGCGATAGGACCAGCAAACAGAGTATGCGCATTGAACTGCGCGGCGTGCTGATTTCTGCATTTTGTCATCATGCCCACAGCGTGCTCAGATCGCAAAGACCAAGACAAGGGGCGAAAGTGCCTCACTCTTTCATCCGACGCGTTCAATTAGCGCGCATGAGTAGACTGCATTTGTTCAACCACCTTTGCGCTCAGACTCATTCTTGGGCAGCTGTTCGCTGTGCGTGTGGGCATGGCCGTTCGCCACCGCTTTCAGATCTGCAGCCTTCTTGCGGGACTTGGGCTTCTGCCAGCCATTCGCCGTCGTCACAGCCGAAGCTGCTGGAGCGGCCGTACTCGAACTGCTGGGAGCCACATCAATGCTCTCGCTCTTCGCGCCGCGGATGTGGCCGTTGGCAGCTACGGCCGAAGGACCTTTGCCGTTGACACCGCGGTGCGGGAGATGCACAGACGCTGCCGTGGACGGCGATGTGGTCGTCGGCGAACCAGAGCCTTTCTGCTTGGTCGTCGTCGTCGACGTCGTTGTAGCATCCGCCTTGGCTGTCTGGGGTGCCTTCTTCGTGGCTGGGCCCTTGCCCTGGCTGGCCTTGCCTCCACTGTACGCGGTACTGTGCGCGGTGTGTGTGCTGTAGGCCATGGGTGAGCTGGCACTGGGGCTGGATGCCGAGGCGGCAGCAGCAGCGGCGGCGACCGAGGAGAATTTGTCGGCATGGGACACGGGGCCCTTGTGCGTGTGCGCAGCAGACGAGGACGACGCTGTGTTGGACCGGCCATTGCTAGCGGTGCCAGCGCTGCCAGTGCTGCCACCAACACCACCAAGCAAGGTGTCGAGCTTCCGCAGGTTGGTGGGCGACGGCGTGCGGTTCTCGTACACGGGCGATAGGTGCTGCTGGGTGTCGGGCGATGACATGAGCGTGTGGTCCGGCATGGCGAGGTCGAGTGGCGCAATGCCTTTTTGCTGCTGCCGAGACAGGTTGCGCTGGCGCGGCGACGGCAGCTGAGGCACGCCGCTCGTCAGACCAAGACCATGACCTGCAATCGCTGCATACGGCAGCGGGCTGAATCCGCTCGTCAATCCTCCGTTCATATTCATGGCAGCTACGCGCTGGTTAAACGACTGGGCACCATGCGACGGTGGCGATGCGACGGTGGACGACGACGCTGAGCCGTTGGCAATGACGGGCGACTGCGTCATCGGCAGTGGACCGTTCATCTCCACGGCCGGCGGAGTCACGACGTGCTGCGGGATGTCCGGCATGATGCCAATACCACTGATGCCGAGGCCGCCGTGTGCCGTAGAGGACGTATACGAGTT